GATATATGATTTATGCTTTAAGTATGTATATGGTTATGTGATACTACAGCCTTCCAGGGTGGAAGCTGTAGATAAGACGGCTTAACTGTTGGACATGTTTGGGAACCTCCCTGATAGTAGCTTGCTTAAGTAAATAGAAAACAAGGGTGAAATTTGTTTGTTGATACTATCTCGTGCTTTGTCTTTTTTCCAAGGATTTGGTTACTTGCCAGTTCTCAATTATATCTCCTCAATAAGTACTGACAACAAGTTGAGATAAAATGTGTAAAAAAAATTACATGAAAGCTATTAAAAGAGGACCAAAGCCCAATAAGAATTTGGAGGTGGGAAAAAGCTTGGCAGCTGGTGAAAATTCCAGGAGGGTGGCACAAAAGACATATTTTCAGTACTGTAACTATTTAATAGGCTAACAGATAAAATAGCATATTTTTTTTACTCCCACTTAAGTAATGCCTATTCACCCACAGCTGTGGGAGTATAATTGGAGGCAGATGGGGATCCGCAGGGAGGTATATGTTCAGTGGTGTTAGGCAATACACCAAAATAATAACTTCTGTTAATATTGGTTTGTATTTCATGCAATTTCCCCCAATACCCATATGTGCATTAGTAATTAACTCTTATAAATTGGAATAGACTTTGAGACTAAACAGAAAAGATATTTAAGCATCCTGAGAAGACAGGCAGATGGGATCTAGGAGGGCTGAGACCAAAATATCTGGTACTTACTCTGCATACCATGGAGAAAGAGGGAAAGTTTTCTAACCCAAGATTTAGTCTTCCTCATTTAAAAAATTTTCCTCCAATAATATTCTCAGGGCTCATATATATGTATAGCATTTTGGTTTACCTGCACATACCACTTAGTATGAAAATACCTTTCACTGCAATAAACATTGCGCTAAACTGCAAACTAGAGGTTAATGTACTCTAGTGCTTCATTGCAGAGCCACTGAGAAGAGCTATAGTATCTCTGATGGCTGTGAATTTAGGCCATGGGCACTCAGAAAATTTACAGAAAAATTCCTATGCCTTAGCTGAAGTGTGGAATTAGAAAGCTACAATACTTGGCCAGACACGGTGGCTCACGCCTGTAATCCCAGCACTTAGGGAGGCTGAGGTAGGTGGACCACCTGAGGTCAGGAGTTCAAGGCCAGCATGGCCAACATGGCGAAACCCCATCTCTACTAAAAATACAAAAATTAGCCGGGCGCAGTGGTGGGTGCCGATAGTCCTAGCTACTCTGGAGGCTGGGGCAGGAGAATCACTTGAACCCGGGAGGTGGAGATTCCAGTGAGCTGAGATTGCACCACTGCACTCCAGCCTGGGCAACAGAGTGAGACTCCGTCGCCCTCCCTCCACAAAAAAAAAAATCACATAGGAAGACATCAAAGGAGGAAGAATGGAATAAAGAAATTACAAAACAGTCAAAAAGACAATCGTAATTCCTTACCTATCAATAATTACATTAAATGTAAATTAAATTCTCCAATCAAAAATAGAGTGGTTGAATGGATGCAAAAACAAATAAAATTCAACTATACACTCTCTCTAAGAGTCTCGTTTTAGCTTTAAGGACACATACAGTCTGAAAATAAACAGACGGAAAAAATATTCCGTGTAATCAGTAGCCAAAAGAAAACAGGGATGCTAAATTTCTATCAGACAAAATATATTTTATGTCAAAAAGTTTCACAAGAGAAAAGGTCATTATAAAATGATCTAGGGGTCAATTCACCAAGGGGATGTATTAATCATAGATTCATATGTGCCCAATATCAAAGCGCTTAAATAGATAAATATTAGCAGAACTGAAGGAAGAAATGGACAGCAATATAATAATAGTAGGGGACTTCAACATCTTATTTGCAACAATGGATAGATCATCTAGACAGAAAATAAACAGCAGAGTTGAATAACATGGTAGACCAAATAGAACTAAGAACCATACAGATTATTCCATCCAACACTAGTGGAATACACAGTCTTCTTATGTGCACATAACATTATTCAGGATAGATCCTGTGTTAGGCCACAAAACAACTTTTAGCACATTTAAGAAGCTTGAAGTCGTGTCATGTAACTTTCTCTTTTTTTTTTTTTTTTGAGATGGAGTTTCACCCTTTCACCCAGGCTGGAGTGAAGTGGCATGATCTTGGCTCACTGCAACCTTTGCCCCTCAAATTCAAGTGATTCTCCTGCCTCAGCCTTCCAAGTAGCTGGGATTACAGATGCCCACCGCCACACCTAGCTAATTTTTGTATTTTTAGTAGATACGGGGTTTCGCCATGTTGACCAGGCTGGTCTCGAACTCCTGACCTCAGGTGATCCACCCACCTCGGCCTCCCAAAGTGCTGGGATTACAGGTATAAGCCACCACGCCCAGCCATGTCAAGTAACTTTTTCAAACACAGTAATATAAAACTAGAAATTAATAACGAGGCAAATTGGAAAATTTGCAAATATATGAAACTTAACACACTACTGACAACCAATGTGTTACAAAAGAAATTTTACAATTAAAAAAAAATGTTGAGACAAAGGAAAATGAAAAAAATATCAAAATTTATGGGATATAACAAACATAGCTCTAAGAGGGGAGTTTATAGAGACAAATGAATGCCTATAAGAGAAGAGGAAGATCTTGAACAACCTTTCTTGATGCCACAGGGAACTAGAAAAAGAAGAAGCTAATCCTAAAGTTACAGAAGAAAGGAAATAATAAAGATCAGAGCAGAAATAAAGGAAATGGAGATAATAAAAATAACAGAAATCAAAGAAACAGTTGGTTTTTTGAAAACATAAACAAAAATTGACAAACTTTTAGCTAAACTGTGAAAAAAGAGAAGACTAAAAATTATAAATGAAAGAGAAAGCATTATAATGGATACAGAAATATAAAGGATCCTAAGAGCCTATTATAAACAATTATACAACAATATATTCAGTAACCTAGAAGAAATAGATAAATTTCTAGAAATATACAATCTACCAAGATTAAATCATGAAGAAAGAGAACATTTGAACAGACCAGTAATGAGTGAGAGGTTAAATTTATAATAAAAAAACTACCAACAACAGAAAAAAAAAAAAAAAACCCGGGACAAGATGGCTTCACTGGTTAATTTTACCAAACACCTAAAGAAGAATTAACGCTAATTGCTCTTACTCTTTCAAAAAAGTAAAGAGAAGGCAAGACTTCCAAAGTAATTTTATGAAGCCAGCATTACTTTGTTACAAACGCCAGGGAAGGAAGAAAAGTATAAGCCAATATCCTTCATATTGTCTCAACAAATTAGGTATGGAAGGTTTCTTGGTTTGTTTTCTCTGGCTTATAACAAACTGAAACTGGGTAATTTGTGAAGAAAAGAAATTTATTTTTCACAGTTACAGAGACTGAGAAGTCCAAGGGCAGGGGTTGTATCTGGTGAGTGCCTTCTTGCTGATAGGAACTCTGTACAGAGTCATTAACCAACTCCGGTCATCACATGGGGAGGAGCTGAAGATGCTAGCTCAGATCTCTCTTTTTTGTGAAGCCACCAGTCCTACTCCCATGATCATCTATTAACCCGTTAATTCATAAATGGATTAGTCTATTCATGAGGGCTCAGCCCCACCTCTCAGTACTGCCACTGTGAGGATTAAATTTCACCATGAGTTTTGGAGGGAAAAAATATTCAAACCATAGCAGAAGGAGTGTATCTCAACATAATAAAGACCATATGTGTTAAGTTCACAGCTAATATGTCATATTAGATAGTGAAAAACTGATAGTTTTTCTTCTAAGATCAGGAACAAGATAAGGGTGCCCACTCTTGCCCTTTCTATTCAATATAATGCAGGAAGTCCTAGCCACAGCAATTGCAGGAAAAAAAAAAAAAAAAGACAAGCAGATTGGAAAGGAAGGAGTGAAATTATCTGTTTGCAGATAACATAATCTTGTATATAGAAAACCCTAACAACTCCACCAAATAACTCTTAGAACTAACCCACAAATCCAATAAAGTTACAGAATAAAAATCAACAGGTAAAAATCAGTTGCATTTTTATACACTAACAATGAGCTATCAATAAAAAGAAGTTAACAACACGATCTCATTTGCAATAGCATTAGAAAGAATAAAATAAGAATAAATTTGACCAAAGAGATGAAATACCTACACACTGAAAACTATAAAACATTGATAGATGATGTTGAACAAGACACAGATAAATGGAAACGTATTTCACTTTCATGGATTAAAGATATTAATATTGTTAAAATGTTCATACTACCCAGAGAAATGTGGAGATTCAATACAATTCGTATGAAAATTCCAATGACATTTTTTCACAGAAATAGGAAAAGCAATCCTAAAATTTGTATGGAACCAGAAAAGCCTCAAATAGCCAAAGCAATCATAAGCAAAAAGGAATAAAGCAAGAGGCATCACACTACTTTATTTCAAAATGTACTACAAAGTTAACAAAAAACAGCATGGTGCTGATATAAAAATGCATGTGTAAACCAATACAACAGAATTGAGAGCCAGAAATGAATCTACACATTTTTGGTCAATTCATCTTTGACAAAGATACCAAGAAGACACAATGGGAAAGGTCACTCTAATAAATGGTGTTAGGACAACTAGATAACCACACACAGAAAATAAAATTGGATCCTTATCTCATACTATATCCAAAAATCAAATTAAAATGGATTAAATACTTAAATGTAACACATGAAACTGTAAAACTAAGAGGAGGAAAACAGAAAAAGGTAAAAAGGCTTCTTGATATGGATCTGGGTGTGGTTTTTAAAAAATATGACCCCAAAGCATAGACAACAAAAGCAGAAGTAGACAAATGGGACTACATCAAAATAAAAAGCATCTATCTGCACAAAAAAGGCTCAGTAGAGTAAATAAACCAGCTGTGGAATGGGAGACAATATTTGCAAACCATACTTCTTAAAAGGGGTGAATATTCTAGTTTATAAGGAAATCGAGCCTACCACTGCTGCCCCCCCATTGGTCTGCCGCCACCACCCAATCCAGAAACAGAACATCTAATCATGGATAAAAATGAGCTGATTCAGAAGGCCAAACTGGCCGAGTAGGCTGAGCGATATGATGACATGGTAGCCTGCATGAAATTTGTAACAGAGCGAGAAGCCCAATTATCCAGTGAGGAGAGGAACCTTCTCTCAGTTGCTTGCAAAAATGTTGTAGGAGCCCATAGGTCATCTTGAAGGTCGTTTCAATTATTGAACAAAAGATGGAAGGTGCTGAGAAAAAACAGCAGATGGCCCGACAATACAAAGAAAATTGAGACAGAGCTAATAGATATCTGCAATGATGTACTGTCTCTTTTGGAAAAGGTCTTGATCCCCAATGCTTCACATGCAGAGAGCAAAGTCTTCTATTTCAAAATGAAAGGAGATTACTACCGTTACTTGGCTGAGGTTGCTGCTGGTGATGACGAGAAAGGGATTGTGAATCAGTCACAACAATCCTACCAAGAAGCTTTTGAAATCAGCAAAAAGGAAATGCAACCAACACATCCTATCAGATTGGGTCTGGCCCTTAACTTCTCTGTGTTCTATTATGAGATTCTGAACTCCCCAGAGAAAGCCTGATCTCGGCCAGGTGCAGTGCTCACATCTGTAATCCCAGCACTTTGGGAGGCTGAGGCAGGTGGATCACGAGGTCAGGAGTTTGAGACCAGCCTGGCCAACATGGTGAAACCCCGTCTCTACTTAAAAAACCATTCCTACTTGCTGGCCATGTACTTGGAAAAAGGCCGCATGATCTTTCTGGCTCCACTCAATGTCTAAGACACCCTGCTTCCTTTGCTTGCATCCCATGAACTATTTCCCTCATCCTATTTACTGCAGCTCATCTCTCCTTAATTGATGAGATTGTGTTTATCTCCCTTTAAAACCCTACCTATCCTAAATGACCTGTCATTGTCTGTCTTTCAAATCCTTCCTCTTTCTCTTCCTCTATTCTCTAAATAATGATGGGGCTAAGTTATACCTAAAGACACTTTTCAAAATATTTCCTCAGTACTTTGCAGAAAACACCAAACAAAAATGCCATTTTAAAAGAGGTGGATTTTTTCTACACCTCTTTAAAATGTAAGCTTCTTTTCTACACCTTTTTAGAATGTAAACTTCTCAAGAGCAGGGACAATGTTTTCTGTATGTTCTGTTGTGCCTAGTACACAGTAAATGCTCAATAAATATTGATGATGGGAGGCAGTGAGTCTTGATGATAAGGGTAAGAAACTGAAATACCCCCCCATAAAAAATTCTAGTATATAAGGAAATCAAATAATAGCAAGAAAGCAAGTAACCTGATTTTAAAACGAGCTAAGCTCTTGAAAAGACTTATCTCTAAAGAAAACATACAAATGGCAATATGTATATGAAAAAATGCTCAGCATCACTAATCGTCAGTGAAATGAAAATCAAAACCCCAAGAACCTATCACCCCACACCTGTTAGAAAGGCTATCATCAAAAACACAAAAAATAATGAGTGTTGGCAAAGATGTGGGGAAAAGGAAACCCTAACACACTGTTGGTGGGAATGTAAATTAGAACAGCCATATGAAAAACAATATACGGAAGTTCATGAAAAAATTAAAAATAGAATGATCATATGAGCCAGCATTTTTACTTCTGAGTTTTAAAAACCTATAGCATATACACAAAGAAAAAAAATGTATTTTTATTTTTTTATTTTTTTTACTGAGTCTCACTCTTGTCATCCAGGCTGGAGTGCAGTGGCATGATCTCGGCTCACTGCAACCTCCGCCTCCCAGGTTCAAGCGATTCTCTTGCCTCAGCCTCCCAA